CATTCTAGCATTTCCTAATAAATTATGCAAATGAGGTCCTGAATTGAATAAATTATGTTTAATGATGTTCACCTCAATTTAACTTTCAAATACATGTACCACAAGTATGAAATTCCAGGCAGTTATCATTACATAATTATAAAATTTTCTCATTAATTATGCAAATTAGGTCATTATTAACATAATCAATATCTTCCTGTGTTTCCCTCGTTGTCAATTACCAATGTCACAAGCTTTAATTGTCCTATCATGGAATGCAGCTGATTTATAGAATTTCCCCATAAATTATGCAAATTATATCCATATTTGCATAATTGTCACATAATTACATGAAGCATCACGTAAGCTACCTACATACCAAAAATCACGACGATCCGTCAACCGGTTCTTGAGTTATCCCCTTTTGAATATTTTCAAGAATATATCACTGCAGTTCCAGAGCAAGCCGCTAGGGGGCCTAAACTCACATCACTTCTTCCCCAGCACAAGAGCTACCTACCATCTAAATTTCATCACCATAGCATGTCTAGATCATGAGATATCAAAACCGGAAGTTCAGCTGCAGTACCATAACAAGCCGCTAGGGGGTCCAAAATCTAATCATTTTGAGGTCTCATCAAGACCTACCCACCTACCAAGTATCAAGACAATCCATCAAGGCCTTCTCAAGTTATCGTGTTGACAGACACACACACACACATACACGAACGCCCCTGAAAACATAACCTTCTTGGCGAAGGTAATAATTCACAAAGTAGTTTCATGTGAAACGGCAGGTGTCGCTCTTGGCTGGCAGCCCACCGGTGTTCTTACGGCAACGCCTCCTGAAAAGGACAACAGTAGAGTACGGGACGTCAGCATCCTACCGTGGAGAACAGCTCGGAGAAATGATAATGCACATTTTCAAACCCGATACTACATTGCTGTATATGTTCCTGGACCATAATTTGCGAACGGAATTGGTCTAGGTAGGTGAAGATTCTCACTCGGTAGCGTAGGCATCTATATATAAACGTTACATGGGGACGCCCAAATACTAGGCCCATTATAGCAAAAGCTGGAAATTCGTAATCTCCAAGCAGATCCCTCTCGGTGGCAAAAAGACTCAAATTGGCCAGGCAGTATCCATTGGCCAGAGAAGGTCCGCGGCCACCGACGGTGGGGGTCAGGACAAAACAAAAAACAAAAAAAACGGCCATATATAATAAAAAGGTAAAGATCATTCCCCCACAAGCTCTGCTTGGAGAGTAGGAAATTCGTCGTTTAGGAAGGAAAAGGATGTATGACAACCTACTTACGGCTTGGCAGCTTCTTCAGACAGCAGGGCCAGGTACACATTGTCTTGGAGATCGCGGAACGGAAGTTCTCGGCCACGACGGCACAGAGGACGGGATTGAGACACGGCGAGACGTCTTGTAAGGCGTAGATGAACCACTCGGCCGACGTGCTCAAGTTCCCGCTACCGTCGAACACGCTGGTGAGGATGTTCACCACGTGCCCCGGCAGGTTGAACGCGACAAAAACCGTGACCAGGACCAGGACGAGTCTGGACACGCGGCCTAAGGCGTTCCCATTCCCGCCTTGGTTTCCTGTCTGAACCTCCCGGAGCCTCACGATGAGGAGTACGTAGTGTGGGACCATGATTATTAGCGGGACAACGAAGCCCAGTCCAATGGAATAGAAGATTCGAATCGTATTGAAAGTGTGAGCGTCCAGAGACCCGACGGCGTCGTAGTGGCAGTCATGGAGGCATAAGATAGGCATTATGTT